ATCTTTAGATGAATTCAGCTCATTTACCTCCTTCACATCTTTAGATGTGTTCACAACCTTTGACTGCTGTTTTCACATTTTGTTCGGCTTCAGCTTCTTTCAGCTTCCTGCTGCAAATTTGAACTTTTTTCAGCAAATTTCGCTCATTTCAGCTGATTTGTGCTCCTTTCAGGATTGTTCTGCTCACTACAACATGTTTGTGCTTCTTCTAACTTCTTGCTGATCATTTCAGCTTATGATCCTTTTCACATTGTATTGTTGGATGGAACTGGGACCCTGTGTACACAGTTTCGTTCCACCACATGTACCACATGAGGTGCAAATGACAAAGAAGCTGTGACTCTGACTTTCAGCTTATTTATGCAAGTTTCAGCTTTTTCTGCTATTTCAGCAACTATTTAGCTGTTTTTATGATAATTTTAGCTTTTTCAGCTAATTCCACATCTTTCGCACTCATTTGAACTTTTTTCAGTCGCTTTCAGAAAAATGTGCTCTCTCCCCTTCTTGTAATTTCAGTTTCTTTCTGATTATTTTAGCTGATTTTTAGCAGTTTTTAAGCTAATTTCAGCTTTTGTCAGATGCACTTTGAGCTCATTTCTGCTTCTTTCAGCCTAACTGGACAAACATGTTCCTTCTGCTTTCTCCTGATAATTTAAGCTTCTACATTTTTAGCTAGCTTTTTAGCATTTTTAGCTGTTTTCAGAAAAAGTTTAGTTTTTGTGGTAATTTTTGCTACTTTGAGCTTAATTCACTTCTTTCTGATCATTTCAACTTGTGCTTCATTCAGCTTTTTTCAGCTAGTTTCAGCTTTTTCTGCTATTTCAGCTATTTAGCTGTTTTTATACTAACTTTTGTTTATCAGCTAATTCCGTTTTTTATCTCATTTCATCTCTTTCCACTTCCTTTTGGTAATTTAAGCTTCTTTTTGCGTTTTCAGCTACTTTTCAGCATGTTTTAGCTAATTTCAGCTGTTTTTCTGCACGTTATTCACACTGAAATTTCACAGGAGAAGCCCTCTGGTTAACATTAGGACTTAATGGTGTCGATGGTGCAGCGGTTCAGTGTTGAGGCCGTTTGAGGCTCACGCCCCGTTGGGTTGTTTTTGCTCAGCGGTCCGTTAAGTCTCGGTTCGCTCGGCTGGAAGTGATCCGGTCCGAGCGGCGCTCAGAACCGGCTCGTGAGCTCGACGCGTCACAGCGTCTTCACCCTGGACCGGAGGACGGAACAAAACTCCACGAGCTGCTTCCAACGAGGCGGCGAACATTTACACCGTTAATTCTTCCTTCAGGAGGTTCTGGGTCTGACAATGACACTAAAATTAAACATCTGCGTCTGAAACAAACACAAATATGGTGAAAATTATGTTTGAATAAATATTTTATTAAAATACTAAGAACTATTTTTAAGGTGACTTTTTATCTTTTAGATCAGGTCACAAATTCTCCAGAAAGAAAATCGGCCCAGAATTAATTAATTAATGAGTCGTGACTGGGGGAGCGGTGGAGCAGAGGCTAGAGAAGGTGGGCCTGTGATCGGAAGGTTGTCGGTTCAACTCCCGCTACAGACAACATCAAAATGTGGGTGGGAAAGGTGAAGCTCCTACACCTGCCTCCCCCCTCATTTTCCCCACCCTGGGCCCTTGAGCAAGGCCCTGAACCCCCACCTGCCCCTAGTTATCAGCTCTGTGCTCCACTCGGTGTCTGGTCCAGTCAGGACCTCCGCAGGAAAAACAACGGTCACGTCTTCACCGTGGAGACCCTGAACAAGGAGCAGCTGAAAGAAAAGAAAATTACGAGATTAATAATTAGCTAAAGAAAAAAATCTTTCAGCTGCTCCTTCTTCCGGTGGTGGGGGTTAAGAGCCTTGCTCAAGGGCACCGAATAAGGCAAATGAAGGAGGCAGGTGTGAGCGCTTCACCTTTCCCACCCACATTTTGATGTTGTCGGTTCAGGAAAATGAACCGGCAACCTTCCGATCACAAGCCCACCTTCTCTAGCCTCTGCTCCACCGCTCCCCCATGAGCTGAAGTTTTTGTAACAGTGAAAAATACTTTTCTGGTGAATTCCCGTGGATCATAACGACTCATGAGGGATCTCCAGTGCGTTTGTGTGGTCATAATGTTTTGGCTGACAACCTGGCTGGGTTTGTTCTGGCGAGTCGATCGGAGACTCGGCTCGTCTGCAACATTTCGGCTCTTTTTTCAGCGAGTCCTTTAACATCATGGACACATAGGATCCGGGTTAATTTAGACCTCGGACCCGTGAGTCCTGACTCGGTACCAGGAACTGGATCTTTGACCCAGGTGAGGCTGACCTGCGAGTCAAAACAGCTTCAAGAACATTTAGCTGATTTCTAAACGTCCATCAGCTGAAGTGATGCCTGCTCATCTGTGAAACTGCAAACAACACTTTCGGCTGATTTCTGCTGAAACGACTTCTGCTCTAAACTGAATTAGAACAGCTGAAGTTTGTGAAAGCAGGAAAATAAAAAGCTAAAAGCAGCTGAAATGTGTAGAAAAGCTGAAATAAGCAGAGGCCGAAAAAATGACAAAAATGCTGAAATTGGCAACAAAAAAAAAGTAAATGAAAAAGCTAAAACAAAGCTGAAGTTTACAAGAAACATACCTAAAGGACAAAAGAGCTGAAATTGTTTAAGTAGCTTAAAGAAGCTAAAAGTAGCAGAAACATGCTGAAATTAAAATTAAAAAAGCTGAAAGAGGTGACAAAACCTGAAGGAACAAAAATACTGAAGTTAGAAGAAAAGAGTTTAACAGAGCACAACAGCTAAAATTATCAGAGAATCAGCTGAAAGTAGCTGAAAAAGAAACAAAGACATTTTAAAAGAAAGAAGCTGAAATGAGCTAAAGGAAGCTGGAAGCAGCTGAACTAAGAGACAGTGGACCCTCCGGATGAGGACCACGGCCTCAGGTCTGGAGGTTCTGGTCCTCGTCAGCTGTGGCCCGGTCCACCCAGAGATTATGTCCATAAAAGTTCTGGACAGGACCCTGAAGGGTCTGATTTGCTGCCAGCAACCAGACTCTGGCCCCACTTGGATCAGGACTGAACGGTCCAGATCGGACCCAGATCCCAGACTCACGGAGTCCCCCACAGGGGACCTCGAGGAACCCGGTCCAATCCTTGTGTGATGCAGAAACCGGGTCAGAACCAGAAGAATCAACAAAAACAGCAACAGCGTCTCCATCTGCAGCAGGTAAGATATTCACTGTTCCTTACAGAAGCCGGCCTCAGCAGAACCGAACCAGAACCTGAGCAGGAAGTTGGACAGAACCAGCTGTCAGCTTTGGTTCTGGGCTTCTCCACCAGAACTTTCTGCAGAACCCGCCCAGGAACCGGTTCTGGACCCAAACTTTGACCCGAACCACGTTCCCCAACCACCGGACCGGACCGGACCGGACCCTGCATCCTCACCTCTCCGGGTTCTGCTTCGGGGCTCGTGTCACGCCCACGCGGACCAGAACCGCGCAGCACGCGCATCCCGAGAGTCACAGCGCTTCACGGATCACATGCACGCGCGCGCGCTTTGCATGAGGAGCTGATGAGCTGCAGCCGGGAGATGACTCATCCGAACCGGCTGGGTCTGCTGGACACGA